AAGAAGGCTGCAGTCACAGAGTCATAGCAACAGCGCACTGCAGCTGGGCTTCAGCCTGGACCTGTAGATGGTTGGATTTTTGTACAACTTCTCATGTTTTAGCTTCTTACTTTTCCATTAAATTTTTACCTTTGAAGTACTTTAAATGATAAAGCGTATTCTGTAAATTTATGAACTAAAATTTCAAAACATCTGGGACTCTCAATACTATACAGTTGTCTTTAGATGCAGATGTAGCATGTATGTAGCTACCAGCTATGAGCTAATGGTGTGTTTTAGGCACATAGACAAGAGATTTAGAGATCCTCGCCTGGAAGAATTGCTTTTCACTGAACCTAAAAGTGAGGCAGTGCGTCTATGAAAGGAAACTTCTGAAGTGTGTAAAGAGCTGCAAAGGCATTTATAACATTTGTGTGGTTTTATGTACCAAAAACAGTAAACATAATTCATTTTTACTTTATACAACACATTCTCCATCTATTTGGAGAACAGCTTCACCATTCAGAGAACCATTTAAGCATGCAAATGGTTCTTGGCTTGTTCATGGTTCTCTATAGAATCTTTACTAAAGAATACTTGAACAGCAGTTTTTAAAGAGTGCACTTTTGTTCACAATCAAGTTTGGGTTTTAGCATTCAGATGTCTTTTTTTCATTAAGTACTCCCGTGTCACCAAAGGGTTGAATTTAATGATGTGATAAAATTTCAATTTTTTATTCTTGTGGTTTGATTGCGCTCTTCAGTTTTGTGCACAGGCGAGCTCAGAGAACATCTGGACCTAATTTTAGATATGGGCCTTAATGTGTTGAATACTGAGCTGCATCATTGTGACCAAAATATTTCAGTTATGTTGGAGCTGCGATTGGTCAGGATGCTCAAGAACACTGAGCTCAATTAAATTTTATTTTATCAACTTAGTTTAGCCAAATGAAATCTTGACTGCCATTATTTATTCCTGCATTTAACACAGGAATAAAAAAGTTGTTGAATTTGCATGATTTGATTGTCCATCAGCTCCAAACAAATGATCAACAACAGATCTTGAGTCTGAATCCTGGCAATGACCACACCTCTCCAGCCTGGGGGCACTGCGTGATGGAAGGGGGTGGAGGAGGCCAGTGGGAGGGAGTTAGAAATGATTACTCTCTTAAAAAAGATTCTTCAAGGGTTCCTTAGTAGAAAATGGTTCTATATAGGACCATGAACCCCTTTGCATGATTAAAGGGCTCTTTTCATCATGAAATGGTTCTTCAGATTGATGGAGAATGTGCTGTAGAAGGTTCTACATAGAACCTTTTTGAAAAGGGTTCTATATAGCACCACAAAGGGTTCTTCTATTGTTATGACGTCAAGCTTGTTACAATAGAAGAACCCTTAGGTGCTTTATAGACCCTTTTCAAAATGTTCTATGTAAAACCATATAAAACACATTCTCCATCAATCTGAAGAACCATTTCACGATGCAAAGAACCCTTTAATTATGCAAAGTGTTCTTTAAGTGTTCATGGTTCCATTTAGAACCATTTTCTTTACTAAAGAATCCTTGAAGAACCATCTTGTTTAAGTGGGCAGAAAAAACCTTTAACTAAAAGGCTCTTCTCGCTCATCTGAGTTACCAAAATGGTTCTTTAAAGAACCATCCACTGAAGTGTTCTATAGGGAACCAAAAGTGGTTCTCAAATGGCATCACTTCCAAAGAACACAGTAAATCTTTTTGGACCTTTATTTTTAAGTGTGTTTTACTCTCAGATTCTACTTTATTATTATTTTATATTAATCTAATGTTATTCTAATACTTTTTTTAAATAAAGGTTACCACAAAGGGTTTTTTGAGCTACTTTTGGTTCTCTAAAGAACCGTGTTTGAAAAGTGATCTGTGAAGTGGGAATTAGACTAAATTGGGGAAGCGAATGAGTAAAAATTCAATTTCAGTTAAACGTAGTTTTCTTTTTACTTTCTTTCTCCTTTTTACTAAATTAAGCTAATTGCATTGTTTAAAAAATGCTATACAGAAGGTTCATTAAAATTTCAAGCTGATCTGCTGATTTTTGGTGGTCTGCACGCCTTTAATATGAACTCCTGCATTACTCTGTGCATTAGTGATCTATAACCTAAGAATTCTAACCTATTATATAAACCCAAGCAGAGAATGAATCCCTTTATACTAGTATAACAAGACATGAAGGTCCTCAGAGTGTGTGAGAGCTCAGTGCAGAGACAGGTTTATCCTTCAGTGTGTGGTAAACCCGTTTAATGATCTTCAGTGTTGAGTGTGTCATTAAGGTAAGAATGTAAAGCCTCCATTAGCTTCACTTCCCTCCATTAGGTCATTAATGCTGATAACAGGTGCACTAATGACTGATAAGCAGATAAAGCAGGTAAAGCAGGTAAAGCGCTGTGGCCTGCAGACTTTAAAGAGGAATTCCACTGACTTTTCAAACTTTCTGCATAATTAAATCATTCAGATGAAAACAAAGTCATTCAGTGTGGTTTAATGTGAAAGTCAGAATTATTCACAGAAAGTTACTAAATGAAATGGTTATGAATTCACTGCCTGATGACTGGTGGAGGGATACATGCAGGGCGCTGTGAGGCAAAACAGTCCCCAAAGAAAACTTATTATTTCAGATTTTCCACTATTTTCCATCATCAACATTCCATATAAACTCAGAAGACTCGTGTAGGTTCACTGGTGGTTCTGGATAGTAAATAAAATGTCTATATTTGTGTTGTAGTCATGGCGACCCCTGGTTCCTATACCACCACTGTAAAGAGATCTGAACCATTTAACACTAAACCACCCTGAATCACTCTGTTTATACCTCACACACTGAATTATGGGGGAATTTGTAAATATTGGTGGAAATTGTCTTAATTTAAGCCACAATAAGAATCATGCTAATAATCAGCGAAAGCAACAGAACTTACAAATCATCTAATTTATAAATACAAACACAAACAGATTTGTTGTTCTGGGGTTCAAAATAAAGACTGTGATCTAATATTTAAAAAATACTCATATTTTATTATTTTGTCATTCTCATGTATATTCCTTTACTCTACACTATTCGGGAAAAAAGGTGCCCGAAAGGGTTATTTCGAGCGATTCCACTGAAGAACCACTTTGGCTTCCCTGAACAACTTTTCAGTGGATGGTTCTCTAAAGAACTGTTGCTGTAAATGAACTGTGGGAGTGAGAAGAGCCTTTTTAAAGTTTAAAGAACCTCTACATAATTTAAGGGTTCTGTATCCTTTAAGGGTTTTCTCAGAATACTTTCAAGAGCCATTTAGGAAACTTTGTTGTTCTATCCTTCTGTTACTTTCATATTCAAAAATTCTACATGTTCTACCCCTTTCAAGAATGTGAGTTCCCAAATGGTTCTTGGTCCAGATGTACAGTTCTAAGAAAAACCTCTAAGTGGTATAGAACCTTTAGACTATGTCCAGATTCTTTAAACCTTAAAAAGTTTCTTCACACTCATCTCGTTTACCAGAATGCCTCGAATCATCTATTGAAACGTTCCTTAGGGAACCAAAAGTGGTTCTCTAATGGCATTGCTTCCAAATAACACAAAGAACCATTTCTGGCACCTTTATTTTTTGACAGTGTCTTACTCTCTGATTCTACTTCATTCTAATTTTATATTTTTCCAATGTTCTGATATTATATTACTCTAATATTCCAATATTCTATTTATATATTCATACGTTCTCATAATATTAAATTTTGCACCTTAAAAATGAAGCTGCCACAAAATGTTCTTTAAACTACTTTTGGTTCCCTAAAGAACTATGTTTAAAAAGAGATCTATGAGTGTGAAGAACCTTTTAGAGGTTTAAAGAACCTTCACATAACGTAAAGATTCCAAACCACTTTAAGGGACTTTAGTAGAACTTTTACATTTTGCGGACGTTCTTTAAACCTCTAAAAGGTTCATCAGTTTAAAGAATCTGCACTTAAGGTAAAGGTTCTATAGCACTTTGAGGGTTCTTCCTAGAATCTTTACCTTTTGTGGAGGTTCTTTAAACTTCAAAAGGGTTCTTCACCCTCACATATCATTTGTAAAGGTTTTTAGGGACCCAAGACTGGTTCTTTTATGGCAGTGGTTCTCGGGTTCCTCTAAGATGGTCCATGTTTTTGCTGTATTGTCTGAGTTAGGTTGGAGCAAATATGTGGAACTTCTGGGGATCAGTGTGAGAACCACGTTTGTTTTCTGGCATCATGTAAGGAACCTTTATTTTGGGGGGGAGATTCTGTTGATTCTGGAAGATTCAGTCTGTTGTCATTTTAGCTGTCATGTTTTGTGTGTAAACTGAACTAAAGCTGTTTCTGAAAGGATCTTAATTCATTATTAATGCAGCCACAAAATTATTCAGCATTTCTGAGTTTGATGGCTGAAAGTTGAGCCCCGTCATGTTCAAACCCCTTTCGTCATCACATTCCGTCTGAAATTATACGTGCGCATGACTGTAACTGTATTTATTTCTTGTTGTTTATTCAAACATTTCCATAAACACGTGCGGACAGTTTTATTCATGTTTGGAGAGGCTAGTTGGAGCTTCGTTGGGCTTTAATCTACATTGACAGTTCTGTACAAAACATTTTTTTTTTTTGCTCTCAGCATGCGGTTCATCTACCAATGACCAAATAATAAACAACGAGAAGACAAAGTTTAAAAATTAAAATAAAATAGAAATGGGTGTGAAGCTGGGCGGCGCGAGGCCTGGTAAAATTTTAAAAGTTTTTAAAGTTATGAATCCACTAAAATGACGATGGAGTCCCAGTCGAAATCAGTCTGTTTGGACTTTGATAGCTCAGTCCGTCCTGTTTGTTCGTTATTATTTACAGCGGAACATCTTCATCACTCTGAAATCCCAACAAAACACGGATATTAAGGTCCAGTAAACACAGAAAACCCGCATAATCCATCAGCGGCTGCTCCAGTGGGGGGTGGAGTGTGGTGGGCTGGGTGGTCCTGGCAGGCTGAGTGAGGATGTATA